CTGGATCATCTTTTCCTTAAGCAAAAATTATGATTTTCTTTTTCCAAAGAACTTTCAAAAAAAAAATTTTTTTATGCATCTTATTTTATGTATGCGGCGGAACATGACCTCTTTTATAATCAATTATTGAATCATTTGGCGTTTTTCATCACTTTATTATCTATCAACACTTACTCCATCGACACTCCTTTCCCGTTGATACCCTTATCACTTTATGGAAATGCACCATATCAAATCATGATCGAGAACATGTACTAAAATTGACCTTGCCGCGAAACTATGACTATTGCTGTATCCACTCTATCTTTATTTTTGTATTATCGTCAAGATTAATGAAAAAGAACTCTGACTTTTTTTCTTTGTGTTCCGAGTGGCACGCAAAAAAATTTGATATGCCATTAGCTAAAATTCATGCCATGTCATACTATAGGCATGCCATAATATAATTAAACCACATTTCGGATTGTTTTGGACCTTTGCTCCAATTTTCTCTGTAATTTTATGTTGTTTGATTTTCTACTCGGAATATTTAGGAATATAAGTATCGGTCTAATAAGAGCGAAGTGTATAATATAAGTGGCATGCCTTGCCTTGTGACCATTTTGGTTTTGGGTATGCCCATGACCACCGTGCCACTCACCTGTTCCTTTCAAGGAAATTGACTTTCCCTGTGCATACAAAGATAGGGCATATACATATTATAGTTTTTTTTTTAAAAAAAAAAGTATACGATGATTCCTATTCTCATCATTGATTCCTTGAAAAAAAATTTTCTTTTAACCGAATGTACTTATTATTATATCACTATTATCATTTTTAAAACTATAGGTCTTGATTTTTGAATGAGGTTTACAATGTTATAGTTGTTTTGAATTATTAAATTTAATCTATTAATATTAAATTTTATTATTATCACTACATCATTACACATTAAATATTACTGCAATAAAAGAAGAAAAGAATCCTTTTTTCGTTTGTCAAAAAATAATAATTCATATATGATATGTCAGCACACATATTATTTGCGCATGAGTTACGAGTTTGTGTTTGATTAACAATATTTTTTGCAGCTATTTAACCCTTCGAAATTTTTTTTTGATAATGCGCCTGAAATAATCTCACAATAGATATGTTTGAAATGATCATACTGTATAACAGACACATTTTCAAATGCACCGCCATTGAAAAATTATTATTAACTCTATCATTTCATGATTGATTAATTATACTGTAATTCAACAATATCAAATAATTACTATATATTGGTTTAAAATCCAACACTAGTGATGATTTACTGTATACAAAACTAGCATATAGTTAGATGATGAATTAATTGAGAAATTATTTGCATACATCAGTTTCGTGTAACTAGTGATTGGGGTTTTAGCCACCCGGGTGGAAACGGGTGGGTCACTCGGAGTGACCCGTGAACAATAATTGCAAGACTTTACTAACTTCAATCCAAAATACACTTGTATGTATACTAATTGCCTTTTTTTTTAAAAAAAAAAAAACTTTTCAAAACGGACTAAGGGTGTTCTCAAGCACCCACTCAATGGATCGGAGGTAAAATTTTAAACTATGAAAAACCAGCGAGTTAAGCCTATCTTTTTTTCTTTAAAATCTTATCATTGATAAAAGTCGCTCAAGAATTACTTTTACATTTTTCACATATAAAGCATAATAAACAATGAATTCTCGGTAAATTTCTATCCGATCCAAAAAAAATCCCTATTTTATTTTAATGCTAGACTTTTTAAAACAAACTACCACTATAACTTAGAAATATATTTGTATATACAAGTATGCGTAATAACAGAGGACATCTATTTTCACCCGGGTGGCTCATGAGTCCACCCGACGGGTTGCTTTTTTTAACCCACCCGGGTGGCGTTTTTGCTGACGGGTCCAATCACATTTAATAGTCACTTGACATTCAACTTTAAATGAAATGAGGGTTTCTATTTAACCCTCTAAAACCCACTTATATTCGTTTATTATAAACTCTTCCCTAAAACTAACCTCTAACCCCTGACCATAAAAAATGCACCTCAAAAGTTTTTATTTTTCGGTGGCTTGTCTATTTTTTTTACATTGTACAATATTTCATTTTAATCCAATTTCATTTTAATCCGTCACAAATAAATACTTTAATATTGACCAATAGAAAAAATTGGTGGAAGCGATTTACACGAAACTGATGTACGCAAATCATGACATGATAAACATTGTTAAAAGTTAATGCGCACGATGAACATAATATGCATAACGATAATGCACATGACTTGCATATGCAAATCAATTTATCCAATTAAATTTTAGTAAATTGTGCTAAACTCTAATTATTAAAACCGGTTCCGACCTCTAATTCCGACCTCGATTATTTTTAAAATGCTATTTATTTGGCAGAATTTTGGTTTGGTATTATTACAGTACAGTCGATACTGTCTAATTGCATGCCATCTGTCAGAGACTTTTTCATGCATATAGACAGTATATGCATTTAAGTTATAAGAACCATTTTTGTGTTAATAGTTAAAAGCCAAAATTTTTTATGCAGTTAGAGAGTATATGCAATTAGACAGTATCGACTGTATATATTAAAAATTATAATATTTCATAACGATAAAATTTAATTCGATCATTGGGCGTCGTCAAGAAGCCTATACTCAATTTTTTAAATCACTATAACTTTTTATATAAGAGGTTTTTCTTAAAAAAAAACTGACCAGTAACTTTGTAAAGCAATATTAGTTCTATATATTCTTTTTGAAAAACCTTCTGTATAAAAAGTTACTGCGGTTTAAAGATTATATACTATTGTTTTATATAAATTTACTATATGCTTCAATTTTAAATAAACTTTAAAGTACCATAACTTTTTATAAAGGCAATATTTTAAAATCTGACTGGTAACTTTGTTCTTTATAATAAGCTCTACAAAACTGCCGAATAGCTTTTAAAAGATTGTCTCTATAAAAGTTGACACATTTTAAAGATATACTATTTTTATTGTCTAGTATAGGCTTCCATCACCATATGTATAATTAATTGTAACATGTTATTTGTAACAACTTAGTATAATAAATTATGTCAGACATTAACAAAGATAATTACAGTAATTAGCGGCACTTCATGTTAAATTAATTTTTTATTACCAATTTTTTAATCTCACTATCTCTCCGTTTATATGATATTGCGTAATTACCGAAATTAAAATATAAAAAATACGGTGCTGGACAGTTTAAGATATCCAATTTTTATGTAGCAAAATTAAAACAGGTTAAAATAAAAATCCCTCTTTCAATTTTATTGTTTTTTTTTCTTATCTAAAGAACAAATCTGAAAGAAGGATTTTTAAAATTTTTAATTTTTTAAAAAAAATTATGAGTTTTAGAAATTTGGCGCTTATATGTGTTGTACCCAGATTGGAATCGTCCGATTCAAAATCGGGCTGACCCAGATGGGAATTTTACAAATTATTTTGACAGAATTAGAAGTTTAAGGCATTAAGGTTAGAATTAGGATTTAGAATAAAAATTTATAGTTTTTGGTTATGGCCAAAATTACAAATTTCTTATCTGGGACTGTCCCAATGAATTGGAACAATTGGGTACAACATATGTTATATATATAAATTAAATAAATTTATACATTACTTGGTTTTCACAACATGAAACTTTTAAATAGACCCGGTCGGTCGGCTTTCTTTAAAAAATTTCATATGTAAAATTTTATAAAATTTATATGAAATTTTTTAAAACCAACATATAAAAATTTTTTTTTGAAATTTCCAAATTTTGACCCGGCCGGGTTATGAAAACCAATTAATTTTGCATGGCCTTATATAATTTTTAAGAAATTTTATTGGTAATGTTTTTATAGATTTTATTATAAATTTTTCTAAAATTTGGTTTTTTACGAAAAAAAGTTGATAAGTTAAACTGTATAATAAAATTGAATTGCATTTGACTGGTTGAATGTTTTCTTTTATAAATTGTTTATGAAACGTTTATGGAACCGCTTATACGTAATGCATATAAGTAGTTTAGAAATCATTTTATGAACATATGGGGTCTTTGCCTTGAAAATGACCTTACGGTACATGATACCGTAAGGTCATTTTCAAGGCAAAGACCCCATATATCGATATTCATAATTATTCTATCCTGATTCAATAACGACTTGTTAGTTCACTATTGAATTGTGATTACCTTTATGATTATCAATCTCCGACATTATTTCTCTTAGTAATTGTTTATTTAGCCCTCAAAGATTTCCTTATAATAATTGTTTATTTAGCCCTCAAAGTTTTCCTTATAATAATTTATTTAAACGAACTCGGTACTTATCTTAATGAAGTTGGTAGGTTTGGAAAGTGTGTTTAATCTAGTAAACTATATTTTGAAGTATTATCCACGGATTACAGATAATAAAAGTACTATATACTTGTACACTTAATGTTCAACAAGTAAAATTAACTTCTAATGAATTTTTTATATTATAAGATTATCGAAAATTTCATCTGGTGTATTAACTGTATAACGATAATTAATACAACTTTTATCAATTATATGATGTGAAACACTAGAGACGTTAATCGTAATTGTCAGGCATTTTTTAACCAGTATTTGTCCAATAAATAAAGTCATAGAAAAATAATTTTTCTGTAACACTAATATAAGTTTTTCATTGATTTTTGAGTAATTTTAAATAGGCCGATTAGGGTCCCCATCTGAATTACTCAAATAAACTTCTATTAGAAATGTTACATAAAAATTACTTTTTCTATACTTATTTAGACGAATACCAGTTAAAAATGACAATTTTTTACAAATCTTGCTCAAAGTCGGCTGACAATACTGTGAGACTGATTAACATCTCTATGAAACACAAACTCACATTTCAACCAAAAAAAGGGATCATCCGGATGATATGCTCCGGACGCATTTTCCTATTATAAAATGAGAAAGAATCAATTATACTTCTCAATATACGATATGTCTTTCGATAATGGGGTCAATTTCAAATATCCCTTACAACGTCGGGATTACGATTTTCAAGATCTTGAATTTAGTATCATAGTAACTCCAAATAAAATTGATCCTGATATCGAAATTAATGATCCAACTAAAAACCCTGGATCATTTCGAGCAACGATATCTTTTATGAAAGGTGATCCTCGTGAAGACTGTAAAATTCCAGAAGGAATTGAATGTATTGACGTTACAGACATGGATAAAACTTTAGATATCGAACCTATTTTAAATTCTTTCTTTAATATAAAACTCTCTCGTGACTATGATATAATTCATAATGAACTGAAAATCTTATCGTTGAGAAGAGCATTGGGCCGTTGGCAAGTTAACAACTATCAAAAAACTGAAAGTAGAAAGTTATTTGAAAAAAAAAGAAAATTTCTTAAATCAAACGAATTTGTAAACAGAAATCAACTTAAACTTACAACTTTCTTTCCATTACACATAAAAAGAGAAGACGACGATGATGATGTAATGATGGTCTAAAATTTTTTTTTTCATTCTTTTTTTAAATATCAATCATATAACGAGTTTTTTTTTTATTCCTTACGGAAACTTGCTTCTTATGGATCGTTTATTTTTATTTTTCTCCTCTTTTATCTGTTATATTAAATCTTGTTAAAAAAAAACACTATTTTTGATTATGTATTATCTATCTATAAATTAGTAATAAATAAGAGTAGGTTGTTTGTATATAATTTACTTTAAAATGTAAAAAAAAAAAAAAGATTGTAAGAATTTTCTGTTTATTAAAGTTTCTTTTGAATGAGGCAAATGTTTCGACAAAAAGAAAATAATTGGATGCTTATTGACGATGATTCGGTAAATGCCTGTGGATTGTATTAACTTTATTATGAAAAAAAACCTGTGTAATTATTTATTCAGTCCCTTGCATATCTTATATAAAAAACATAATGTAATATGTTTATTAAAGTACTTAAAACTTACCATACACGTGTACTTTATTTTTCACACATTACCTTCATTTGCATTACAAAAAAAAAGAAAGACGTTTAGTTTAAATCAGCTTCCTTTATGTCTCAAGACAAATAACATTATGATACCGATACCAAATAATACTATATAGATATTGATATGGTACTTGAATGTTAAGTGTATACTAATAAGTAATAAGGTAAGATTATTTTAGTTTGTCATCGATAACAGATTATACATATGTTTCCGCGTGATTATAACGATGGGGGCAAACAAAAGTTACATGAATCAATCCAAATTTTGTTATTTTCCAACTTTTAGAATCTAAGATTTTTTATCGAGATTATCGTTTTTAAAAAGAAAGACTAATTATTATATGCAAAAAAAAAAAAAAAATTAATAAACAGAATCGATATCTCGGTAATTAATTGAGAATTATTAAATGTGTAATGTAATCCACTAAAACTAGCATATGCACTGATGCGCATGATGAAACATAATATTGCTCATGACTTGTTATTCAATAAAGTCTGATTTAAAAAAAAAAAAAATCAAATGTCTTGTACGTTAGTGCATTGTACGTACAAGCAGTGTTGTCAATGGACATGGACATGTCCGATGGACTGTCCATGGACATATAAAAATTTGGATGTCCATGTCCATGTCCATGAACATATAAAAATACGGACATGTCCATGGACATGGACATTGGACATTGTGTCCGTGGACTGTCCATGTCCAATAATTTGCTTGGACATATGTCCATGTACAACACTGCGTACAAGCACTCAATCTCCGATCGCTATTTCTCAGGACCTCCATAATGTATTTACTAAAACGACACCGGATATGTACGTACGTACGTACGTACATACATATCAAAGGTTTGGTAAGCTTGGCGTTTAATCTAATAAACTAATTTAGAGTATTGGCCACAAATTATTACGTGAGGATGAAAACCTTATCATAGTAAATCATTGTACGCAGCTGTAGGTTTTCACTCTCACGCACTCTAATAAAGATATTATGTACATGTACGCTTAAATAACTCGATATTAAAAGTAATGCTAATAAATTTCGAAGCCAAATTAATGATTTATTTAATTTTATTATAGAAACAAAATCATCGAAAATTTTATCTGGTACTATTGACTGTGTCTACGTACCGTAATTTGTATAAATATTGTAGAATTCTTTACAGTAGACTTGGATCTATAACCAAAGGCGAAAGACGCCGGGTTAAAAAAGTCTCAGGGTAGGTCGATATACCGAGTGGTCTTTTTTTAATCACATGATTATATGATTATCATTTTATCTGTACGTAATTATTACAATTTTTAATTTATTGCATGTTAAACCAAAATAATCTATAGAGAAAAGCCATGTATCTGTAAAATAATTATATGGCAAGTCGAAATAACCTTGTATAATTTACTTAAAACTGTGAACGCTTTTAAGTTTCTTTTGAATGAGACAAATAATATTTACGATTATGCGGTAAGAGAAGTTTGTACGTATAAGCACAAACTCGGCAAAAAAAAAACCTTAAAAAAATTTTGCATAATTATTTTACTCTTACTAATATTTCATAACATAGGTAGTATAACAAACTTTTTTTATTGATTACAGTAAATTAAAATCTTTTGAATTTAATAGTTTTATACATAATAATTATCCGACAGCCATACAGTATTGTTATCTTACCATTTTATTAGAACATTATATACGTAGAGAACTTCGTGTACTTTAATTGCACTATTAATTTGAATAGATTGTTTTTCCTGTCAAGGTTGCTATTGGCGTTCGTGTTTTTTATATATTTAAAATAAAAAGTAGCTTATAAAACATGAAACCCCATAATAATATCAATAATATCGTTATCAAAAAGCTTTCTATAAAGGTTAGATTACTAGATATATAATTATTGTAAATAAACTAAAAATGACCTTTTTGTCGGGAGTCTCCGCATATTTAATTATTATAATAAGAATCTACGTAATTGATAAGCTATAAAAAATCTCCCGTTTTTCTTTTCTTTTTTTTTTTTTTTTTTGTGAAAACCTTGAGAATTTTAAAAATTACCAGTATGAGTCAGCCTCAACCTTTAATACCCCAAGACGCTGATATTCCTGTAAATTCGTCCTCCGATAATCTTACTGCTGAACAAAAATATGAAAATTTAACTAAGGGTACAACAGATTTGTTCAATAGTGCACAAAAAACAGAAAATCGGTCAGTTCTTCAATTTCCGACCATTATTATTTCGGGATCACCTTTTTGTTAAGCAAAAATTATGAATTTTTTTCTAAAGAATATTTTTTCTTTTAAAAAATCTTTTTTTTTATATCTATTTTACTTTATGCATTTTATTTACATACATATATAAACCTCCCCTATATCGGTGCCCAATTTCATCTTTGCTCTTGACTTTCGAACCCGGTCTTTGAATTAGTCTTTAAAAATTGAGTCCCAAATTTCAGAACCTATATGTAGTTTTTACTACAAATAACCGGTGGTAATCATCACCGTCATATTTTTAGCAGGATTATCAAATTTTAGTTAGAGTTAGGTTTTTTTTTTTTTTTGGAGGTTCTAAACATTTTTGCTTAGCATCCCTGACATACCCCGGTGATAATCACCACCGGTTATAGTTAGTAATATTCTTTATTTATTATTATCTGTTATACGTACGTAAGTATTATATAAAATTTAATTACTGTATATCACAAACATTATATATAGCTTTCTATAAACAGGGGGAAACGTTGAAACGTCACAAAATTGTTACACAATTGATAAAAAATTTTTTATATTATTTTACAATACTT